CGGTTTGAGGTACAAGACGAAGATATATTCGCTGAAACACAATTGATTGCACAAGCTTGTTATCCATTAAACTGTATACGCACTGGTTATCGCAGCGTGACTTTGCGTAATAAATTTAGCGAAGAATTAGAATTAGCTTCATTACTAGTACATATTGACGTAAAACAAAGAACAAGATCCTCATTCGAATTTAATTGATTGAATTAATTCAAAAGCACAAACTGAACAAATATGCAACTAATTAATTGACTATAATTGTTGGACTAAATATATAATATGCATTTATCAAGAGTAAATAAAAAATTTACATAACGAAATGAATTGTCAGGAATAAATGAAACTAAAGATGCAATAAGTGGCAGAACCAAAACTACTATGCATGCTTCCATACTTAAATCTTAGTATGTCTAATATTTTTCTAAAAGATGTACTTGGGTTATTTTATTTTATATGTCAAAGCAATTTATTGCGGCATTTAATGTATTTTTCTATATTTCTCATTAAGAGAAAAAAGTGAATTTGAAGTAAACATTTAATGTATTTTCGTACATTTTCTCTCTAAAAGAATACTATGTTTAATAATTTTTATTTGATAAATCTCTATTTTTCATACTTGAAGTTAGATTGCAAAATAATTGTAACATTCCAAAATAATGTAATGTAATGTATTGGCTTCAATTCTTAATTAATTTTTACTTAATCTTGTTGCATCTTTAAGTTTCAGTTATTATTATACACCTATTGTACACCTATCTTCTTATATTTTTATATACATGTGCATTCATGCAATTATTTTATGATCTTATAAACTAATAGACTTCGATGTTTTTATTTTATTTTTTTTTGCATGTATTGTATTCTATATAAAATTTTTATTATATATATATGTGTTTTCCGAAACTTAGATGTATGTACATCATAAGCAAAATGTACTTCATAAAATAATTTTTTTTTTTTGTGTAATATTTAGCAAATTTTAATGTGACAATTATATGTGAAAACTTAGTAAAATTTTTAATATTGCATATCATTATACACTACAATTTTTTAATATAAAATTATTTTATTTCATTACATTTATGTATTTTATGCGAAACATATTTACATATAACAAAGCTTATACAAGTCGTGTCAAATTTCTTATAACTAAATGTTGTTTGTGATTACATATTTTTATTATCTAAAGATGTTTATTAATGTATATGTTTTAATAAAATATATTTTATTAATGTTAATATATATTTTATATTCTTTATACCAAATTATTTGTAAGGATACATAAAAATATTATTTCAGAATATTTTATTATATCTATCAGAATTATATTTTATAGCTTATTATTGAAAACTCTTCCACTGCAAGGTTATTAGATTATATATTAGTATTAACTAAATTAGAATATTTAAATTTGATGTTTCAAATACCATATTTGCTACTTACAGCACAAGATACTGTGCAAATAATATTGTTAATATTTTTATTCGATTTACTCATCTTAAGTCATTTATATCAAATAAGGCACCCCTACCTCGATTAACAACTAACACCTTCGGGAGTCGCAATATATGATAGGCTTAGCCTAAATGTAGTAGATACCTTTATTCCACTGGCCATTTTAAGTAATTTTTTTTTAAATTTGTTTTTGATTTCCATTCTAAAATGAAGTACCTTTAAATTAGATGAAGTACTTTGGACAATGAAAAACAATCCATTTAGAAGTAATCATGAATGGGTTTAAGCTTCTTATATTAGTTATTTATATTCCAAGGTCCAATTTGATAAAAACTTTTAGATTAGTTTTTGATTTGCATTCTGCAAACATTTATATTAAATTCGGTCCATCTACTTTCGTAAGTCATTAATCTCATCCTAAATAAATTAGATATAAATATTTCCAAGTCCAACCAAAGGATTACTTTTTTAGATTTTTATTTAATTTGCCGTTCTTGCCATATATATCAAGTAATAGGATGTAAATTTAAATTATTAAATATCACTATTATTCGAAAAAGCGTCTCGAAGCTGCTTTTTTTGTAGTGACCCGTTGGGACCTGTAAGCAAATAACATGAAAGGATATACAAGACGATTACATGAGTGGGTAAGGAGTCCAAAGGAACTACAGTTTGGACACACATTAGGAAAAGACGTGTTTCTTGAAGCCGCTCGTCAATATCAACGACAAAATATGGCGAGGCTAGACTTTTGTTGTTGCTGTTGAAACCTATGGTGATGTATAAACCAGGACACAAAAAAAGATTATAAGACAAATACAAGTATTATGATGAGGTGTGTGGAAAGGGAAGAGGAATAAATATATCATTATATAGTTTTCTTACAATTTATTAGTTGTTAAGTTTTAGATTTAGGTTGAGCAAATAACATCTTACCTAAAATTTGCGTTTAAATAAATTGAGAATATTACTTTATTATTATTGCTACGAAATTTACGTATTTTTATTATTCTAAATAAACAATAAATTAATAATAGTAGTAAAAAGTATGTTATGTTTGGAATATTTGAAGATTGTTACGAAATTCTTGTTTTCCAATTTACATTATTAATAGTTCTGAACACTATGCTTGATTATTATAGATTAAAGCTACAAATTTTATGGGGAATATTTGAAGTTTCGAAAATTCTGATTTTCGAGTTTGCTTGTATTGGAGCATTTGACACAGCGTCCTTGAAAATGTTCGAATAACAAATAATGTTTGAGCATTTGTTATAATACATATTTGTATATGAAGTACGTATGGTAACAAATCTAAAATAAGAAATATTTAAAGCTTTTGATTCAAATGTTTGAATTCAAGTATACTCGATGGATTCGATTTTCTTAATGCCCAAACACTATTTTAAATATAATATATATACAATACAATAATAACAAAAAGAAAATATTCTTCAAGATTCACTAGAAAAATATTTTTGCGCTTCCTATATTATAATATAACAAATTATATTCCATTTGATGGATATTAATACGTCTCTCAGTTAATGCAAGAGTTTGTTGAAGTTTTTCATTCTCACTCTTCTTCATATTTGAATTCGTGTTGGTTTTATTAGTACCACTATTAACATCCGAGAGCATTTCCTTTATTTTCTTCAGTTCAGTCTCAAAACGTTCTCGTACGATACCAAACCAATTCAAAGAATTAAATTCATTTATTTGATTGAGCAATTTTAGTATGTATGCCAGTCCAACAGCAAAACCATCATCGAATAACACTGCTTCCTGACGATCTTTCCTATTAATTTTTTCCTTAACACTTAGCATATATTCCACATAATTCAATGTTAATGGTGGAATAATAAGGAAAAAAGTTTTCAA